ACACCTTGGAAGAGAAGCCTGGCAACTGGCAATCTACTTACAAAAGATTAGCCATGGAAACCATTATGAGGCACATGTAGATTCTGACACACATGGGATTGTCATGGGTAGAAAGTGACTCGATGACACTGGTACTGGTATCAGACTGAAACATTAAACTCCTGGGAAGTGTGTAAAAAGCCACAGATGCATCTGCCTACTTTGCGCACGAAGTTAGAGACGAATTTCAGATGGTGCTGCTCTAGACCCCTCTGCCCTCAGTTTAGGAGCTCACACAACCCCAGCAGTCCCGGGGACCCTCAAATATGCCTGCTGAGGCCCGGGGGCTCCCCTGAGATATTGAGGAGGTGGTTCCTATTGCTCAGGAAGAAGGATGGGAGGGCTTCACCTACCCAAAGAGACAGCAGGCTAGTGAAAATCACCCTGAGGATGAGGCTTCCCATCAACATGGTCCTCGGTGACACGTGGGGAGAAGGATCCCCCAGGGGCAGGGCTTCCCCTTATTCCCTTGGGTCCAGGAAAAATGTACAGCTTTCCAGGGCCCCACTCTGCTCCCAGGAGGTGACATTTCCTATGAGCCAGCCAGTGGACATAGGACAGAGGTGCTTGAATGTAAAGGCTGGGGATCTGAAGGGTGGCTGGTGACTGGGGGTGCACACAGCCATGGGTATGCACTCTGTCGTGGCTGCCCCTGAGTGTCCCCCATCAGCTTATGCTCAGGGTCCTGGACTGTTACTGGGGACAGTGGCCGCACATGCCCCCTACCCTTGACACTGGTCAGAGATCATTTCCCTCCAAGCCCCAAACATAGGAACCCCAAGTCCCAGTTGACAAGGAGCTGAAGGGCCAATGCCGATGACTTTCAACTCAGGTTCATGACAGCTGAGTTGAAACAAGGCACTGGACTAACCCAGGAGCAGTGGGCATCTTTTCTTTTCCTTAGGGCATGGTTGCCATGCCACAGAATGTCAGAAGTGGAAGGAACCGCAGAAGTGACCAAACAGACCCTGCTTTATGGTGTACACGGGAAGCAGGCTAAGAGTGGGCAGGTGTGTCTGCACAGTGGGCAGCAGCCACCCGGGGATGAATATCCCACGAGCTCCCTGCTCTGATGGCTCCTGGTAGCCTCCAGGAGAAATAAGACCACTGCTGGATTTGGAGGCTGCACTGAAATTAGGATGTTCCTCTAGATGGCATGGTCCTCTTGTTCTTACATCCTCACCCTGATCCATTTGGAGTTCTTACAGAAATCTTTCTTCTCCCAAGAAAACAATCAAGAAATGATGGTTTCCTGTGTTGGATCCCTGGGAGTTATAAGACTCAAGGCATGCTCTGCTTCTTTTCTTGCAGAGCCCATGGGGAACCAGAGAAATCCCAAGCTTAATGTTTCCCGGGGAGCAGTTCTACGATGCTGGAACAAGTATCAAAGGAAGATGCATTTGGTGAAGTGGAAAGGCAGAGTAAAGAGACAGAGTGCAAGTCTGTTTCGTCACTTATTTGCTATGTGACCTTGGACCAGCCCTGACCTCTCTAGGCCTGTTGTATTACCCAGAATTTGGAGGGAAGGAAGCAGGCTGTAGACTCTCCCAGCTTTAGCTCTCTGATGGGACCCTGTGCTCGCAGTGCCTGAGCAGGGTGAAGTCTCCTAACAGTGTTTGCACTTCCATTTACGCTCACATCTACTAAGTGTGTGTCCACAGGTCTCCATGAGAGAAAGCTACCTGTTAAGACGCTGCTGCTCCCCAGGGTGCTTGGTCCAGATCTGACCATGGACATCATGGGGTAAGAGGAAAAATTCCCATGCTGCTTTGGGCTGACGTGACTGCAAGAGGATGATGTTAATTCTGCTGTTTATAGAAATAAGTCCAGTGTGAGTCGAGGCTTTTTGGTGTTTAAAACCAGATGGTATTTCCTGCCTTGATCAGCTTCAGCGCTTTGGTTCCCATGGCAACCCCAAAGTTCCACCTACTGCAACTTATCCGTTCTCCCAAGCTTCTTCCTCTCCCACCATTGTGCCAGGGTCCCTGGAGAATAAAGCCACTAACTTAGTGTATGCCCAGCACTTTACAGTTGACCACACACTCCAGCCTTTATTACATCACATAAGCCTAAAAACAACCTTCAAAAACTTTCAAATTCAACAGCCGTCGAGTCGGTTCTGACTCATAGCGACCCTGTATAGGGTTTCAGAGACTGTAAATCTTTACAGGAGCAGAAAGCCTCATCTTTCTCCCGAGAGCAGTTTGACCTTCCCACCTTGCAGTAAGCAGTCCAGTGCTTGTCCCACAGTGCCACTAGGGATGCATCACTAAGAGTAAGTGCTGTTCTGGCCACATCACAGATAGATCACTAACTGCAGATAGATCTCTCCAGCTGCACAGCGGCCTTGCCAGGACTCTACCCATGGTGTGGTATGCCTGCATCTCCAGTGGGGCCACTATGCTGGGATGAATATGGAAAGTGATTGCTTACTACCCATAAATGGTCAGTTCCATCGATATATAGCCTAGATCAAGGGGTGGGTCTTTAGGAAAGTTACTTAACTTCTCTTCGTCTCATTTTCCTCATCTATAAAATGAGGCAGTGTGATGGTACCTCCTTAATAGGGTAGACAAGAGGATAAAATTCACTGACAAGCATGCAGAACTATAAGTGCTTACTGGATTTAAAGGGCCATCTGAGAAGCCTGGGTGTGAATCTCAGTTCTCCCCTTACTATCCACAGAGCTCTCAGATGTTGCAGGTGGTATGATGAATGCACTGCAGCTGCTCCTGTTTCCCAGGGGATCTTACGAAAATGCAGGTTCTGGCTTAATAACCAGGAGGAGGGTTTGCATTCCTTACAGTCCCCAGGAGACACAGGAACTGTTCCTCTGGGGACCACACTTTGAGCAGCAAGGCTGTGGCTGATAAAACACCTTGAAAATGTTATTCACAATGAATGCTGCAGACTGCTCTGTGTCCCAGATTGCAAGCTCAGTGGAAAGCTCTAGAACCTTGGAGAGCAGCCAGCAGGGCATCAACTCAGTGGTTGTTGGTAAGTGCTGTCAAGTCCAGTCCGACTTAGAGCAACCCTGTATAGGGTTTCCAAGGAGCGGCTGGTGAGTTCGAGCCACTGGCCTTACCATTCAAACCGATCTTGTGGTCCAGTGCTTATCCTACGGCACCACACCAGGACTGCACCCAATGGTGGTTATGGTGGTTAAGTGCCATCTAGTCGGTTATGACTCACAGCAACCAGTATAGTGTTTCTGAGAAGTGGCTGGTGACTTTGAACCACCGACTTCAAACCATCCTTGAGGTTGAGTGCTTATCCTATGGTGCCACTCCCAGGGATTGTTGCTCAGTGCCATCAAGTCGGTGCCAACCCATAGTGACCTTGTATAAGGTTTTGGAGGAGCGGCTGGTGAGCTTGAACTGCCGACCTTGCAGTTCAAATCAACTTTACAGTCAAGCGCATTAGCCCACAGCGCCACACCAGTCCTGGTGATGCTATGGGTTAGGCATTGGGCTGCTAATCAAAAGATCAGTGGTTCAAACTCCCCAGCTGCTCTGAGGGAGAAAGATGAAACTGCACTGTAAAGATTTAGTCTCAGAAACCCTGTAGTATCGCTAGGAGTCCGCATGGAGTTGATGGCAGGGGCTACCCCATCTACTTCTCACAACAGCCCATGAGTGGGGACTGCTGCCACCCCTACTAGGCCCCATGCACACTGGAACCCCCCTACAGGCCCTACTGAAAGCCATCCCTGATCTTGAGGTACTCAACGGAGGAAGTCAAACCATCACTGGTTTATACCTTGTACATCAATTACATGGGCAATTCCTAAAAAAAATAAGAATGCACTTTTTAAATTTAAAATTCAATGTGACCCAGGAAAGCTAAGTGACCCACATTTAACCACATGGAAGTGGGTCCAAGTGGAGTGATTAGGCAGTTCTAAAGAACAGTCCGCAATTGGTGAGGTTTTGGGTCCAATTCTTTCTTTACTATGTATTCTGGCTTCCACGATGGCAGTTTGTAAATTAGGTGTGTTAATTGTTATCCAATAAACAAATATTTTCCATTCATTCTTGCAATAAATTTGGCCCAGTGTGCCCCTGGCCCTTGTCCCAGACCTGTAACCCAGCCTGCTACCAGTTTGGGCTTCCTTAGCGGGACTTGGATGAGTACCGCCCCCAGCAAAGCACAGCTTTCCCTGCACTGCAGTGGGGAAGAGATGCTCACCTGGCCCAGAACTCCAGGAGTGGGACAGAAAAGGAATGATTTAAAACCTGATGGACAGTCATATTGCTCTTCAATGCCACTGAGTTGGTTCTGACTCATAGGGACCCTGTTTAGGGTTTCGGAGCACGGCTGGTGGGTTTGAACTGAGGACCTTGTTGTTCACAGTCCTGCGCTGACCCTACAGGGCCACACCAGGTAGTGTCAATGCTAACATGCTCTGCTAATCAAAAGGCTGGCAGTTCAAGTTCACCAGAGGAGCCTCAGAAGAAAAGCCTGGATATCGATTTCTGAATTCTCCCTCCCAGCTCCCACTGACCACCTAATGGAGCACGGTTCTATTCTGACACATGAGTCGGAGCTGGCTTGAGGGCAACGAGTAGTCCTGGACACAGCATGCTTGGATTACCCCAGCTACTCCTCACAATAGCCTGTGAGCGGGGACTGCTGCCACCCCCACTCGAACACAAGCTCTGCACAGTAGGGACTCTGCGTAGATGTGCTCCAGCAGAACCCACTGAGTGAACACCTGTCCTTTCAGGGATGAAGTGCAGCACCCACACTGCCATATGGCAGACCTGTGGCCCCAGGGGCCCCGCAGGAATTCCCTCAGAGGACTCAGGCTCTTGACTATTATCCCAGCATGGCCTGGGGCACCCTTGCTGACGAAGCCAACCTAGAGAAGCTGCCGGTGTACTCGCTCTGGCTCTAGTCCCTGCCTCACTGCTGAGGCACCTCTCCACGTATGCACAGCTGGGGCATGTTAAAGCCCCTTCTCACAGGTGGGGTCCCCCAGGAGGCTGGGTCTGAGATAGCACGTTGTTTAAGAGAGTGGCCTTGGCATTCATACCTGTGGACAGGAGGAGACAGCTAGGGCAAAGGGAGAAGCTGGCTTCAAAGCAGCCTCAGCAGAGGTGCCAGGGGTGGTGGCTGAGGTTGGGGGAGCAAAGAGAAGTGGGAGTTGCTCTCAGGCATCAACCGTTGAAAGTCCCTCAGAGCGGGTGTCCATGCCAACGCTTAAGCGGTTCTCAAAACACTCATTTGCGGACTCAGAGGGAGTGTTTTTGATTGTGATGAAAGTGGAGAAAATTATTCCGCTGAAAGAGCTGCGAGCCAGTGAAGCGGGGACGCTCTGAGGCACTTTGAAAAGGGAAATGAGAATCGGGGAAGTGGCAAGAGGGCATGGAGCACACAGGAAGGGGCTCACCTATCCCTGCTCCTGGGTGTCCCCTTGCTCATTCACTCAGCACTTTCTGTGCTGGGCTCTGGGGCACAGGCCTGAGAGCCTCAGTCCAGAGAGCCCCTCACTTCCATTGTAATACAAAGGGAGGCTGAGGATGATTACATGTTTTCACACCGGGGCAGGTAGAGAAGATGGAGGAGACTGTCTGGAGAGGAGAGGGAGGCCTGTGGACCATGAGCTCCTTTAAACAGGCTTTCAGTCAGCGCCCAAAGGATTGACCTTTTGGATTTCACATACTACCACTACCACCCCTCCCAGAAGCAGGGGCGCCGTAACTCAGAACCCAGGCCTCCCCTGTAAAATGAACACATTCAGTGGCAGACACATCCCTGCTTCATGCTGGTTCTCACAACACCTCCACCTGGTGTTGGAGTTTGGGAACCATGAACTTGAGCGTCTCCACCCAAAGTCTAATTTCTTCCTCCAGCCAAGCTGACACATGTCACCCAGCCTCTGTACCAGGTGCTGCCTGCCAGGACTTTCTTCCTAAGGAAGAGCTGGTGCTGCCCTTCAGTGCTCCCTTAACACCCCCCCCCACCCCCCCCCAGGGTCCATGCTCTGCCCACCAGGCCTCCCTCACAACCCTCCGGACTGGGCCTCCACCTGCCAATTCAGACACAGAGAGGGCCTGGGGAGGAGGGTTTACAAGAACTCTTACCATGTAGGAGTCTTAAAAGAAACAAAGGGACTCTCCAAGCTATTTACAGTTATTCAGAAAACCTCTATCCCAGAAAAAAAAAACAAAAACAAAAACAACCCATGATAAAACAAGCTTGCCCAGGCTAAACATTTTATCTATTGGCTTTGTTGTTGGCTGGTCTACATTCTGTGGAGAATAGGGGCTCTGAGGTGAGACTGGCACTCAAACCGTTTGTGGACAGTATGCCCTTGGTAAAGGGAGCATCTGTGGGCTGTGGTGGCCACTGGGGGAATGGGACTGTGAAGGCTGCCTCTCAGGGCTGCGGAGTGAAGGTGAGGTATCAGCAGTGCCCGGCACATCACAGGTACGTGCTCCATTAGAGCGGTCACTGGAAGAAATCAGAACAGCGCTTTATGCTCTTGATGAACAAAATCAAAGTGAGAAGACAAAGTCAACATTATTTAATAGGTGCCATTTGGCAAACAAAAATCTCCCAGAGAATTGAGTCTCTGTGTGGAAATAACACTAAAGAGGAGGACTTGGTGGAGAACAGATGGCGACTGGAGGGCTGAAGTAAAACGTTGTCTTGGTCTCTTCTGCCTCTCATAGATGAAGTGGCCCTGCTGAGGACTCAGGGGAAAGCCACACCCCAACCCAGCACTGGGGGTGGAAGGCCAAGATGGGGGAGCAGCAAGATGGGGACAAGGGCTCCCTGAAGAGGATGGCATTCTCTGTGTCCATCACTCCTGGAACGGGGACTTGAGAGTTTGTACCTCCTCACTGGAACAGGGCTCTGAGGAACCCAGGGTGGGGAGAGTGATGTGGTCTCCACTTCAGGAAGAAACCCCAGTGGGGGTCCCAAGCTGAAGACAAGAGAAGTGGGCTTTGTACTCTGTTGCTGCTGCTATGTGCCACCCAGTCAGTTCCGACTCACAGCAACCCTGTATAGGGTTTCTGAGGCTATACATCTTTACAGAAGCAGAAAGCCTCACATGTTTCCTGTGGAGTGGCTGGTGGATTCGAGCTATTGACCTTATGGTTAGCAGCCCAATGCATAACCAACTATGCTACCAGGGCTCCTTCTATAAGTGGTTATTTCCCTTTAGTTGTCCCCAGGCCTTGGTGAATCAATGCCTACTTGGGTTGGCTGCTTAGCTGAGGGGTCACTGGGTGGTACAAATGGTTAACGTGCTCAGCTATGAAGTGAAAGGCTGGCAGTTCAAGTTCACCCAGACGCACCTCAGAAGAGCGGTCTGGTGATCTACTTCTGAAACCACAGACAGCAGAAACACCACGGAGCGCAGTCCGGCTCTGATACACACCGGGTTGCCATGAACTGGAATCAACTCCTGGGTAACTTGCTCTCAGCTGAGCGGCTGAAATCAGGCAGAGCACATAGAGAGGCCATAGCCCAAGGTCACTTGAAGCTGGGCAAGTCCTCAAGAACTATCTGAAAATGAGTGATAAACCCCCATGGGAGGTGACTCGCCACCTAGCCACCCAGGGAGAAGATGCTCTGAGACAGCTCTGCAGGATTTGGTATCAACTTCATTAGGGAAAACAACAGGTCTCCACAGGTGTGTGAACAGGACCAACTGGTTAATAAGACACAAATATCTGGCATGATAATCATGATGCAGTGGAATAATGCGCTGGGCTGTAAGGTCAGTATGAACCACAAGGTCCATGGTTCAAGCTCACCAGCCGCTTCTTGGTAACCCTATACAGGGTCACTATGAGTCGGGACTGACTTGATGGCACATCACTACCATTAAACATTTCAAAAAAATGGCACATCACTACCATTAAACCGACTCCACGGCACATCACTACCATTAAACATTTCAAAGAAAAGTTAAGAAACAAATATTGGGAAAACAAGTATCCAACGTCCTCCCCTACCACCTCCTGTGGTGGCTTGCAGGTAGCTGCAGTTCTAGGAGTGATGGGGCTGATACTTCAAATAACAGCAATGACACCGGTGGTGGACAAATTCTAGAGCTTCCAGACTAAGAGAGAGATGAAGAGGAAATGCCTGACAATCTACTTCCAAAAATTAGCCCATGAAACCCTTTGATTCACAACAGTAGACTGTCTAAAACAGAGCAGAAGAGGAGCCCTGGAGGTCGGAAGTCATTCAAAATACACAGTGGCTCCAGCAATGGACCTAAACTTGTCAACAATTATGAGATGGGCAGAGACCGGGCAACATCTCATCCTGTTGCCGTACATGGGGTCACCATGAGTCAGAGCCAACTCCACGACAACCAACCACCACCTACTCCTGGATGTGATACTATTAATACAGCATTTACTCTGTACCAGTGTCCTAGCTAAGCGTCACACACACATGATACGTGAAGGTATTTTATCACATGGGCACTATGTCAAAAAGTACTGCTACAAAATCAGAAAAACCGTTATTAAGCAAAAATATCAGAACGTGAAGCAACTGCTTCTTGACATCAACTCCATCTAGGTCTGTACACTTGTGAAGGCAGCGTTCCCATCTCGCTAGCCCTTTCCAGAATTCACCACGCTTTGATGTACACCACGTCAAAACAACAGTTTTGGCATTCTCAAGGCTCAAAGCCAGTTTCTTGTAAATGTTGAGTTTTGGGAACAAAAAGAAGCCTGAAGAGGCTAGAGCAGGACTGGAGGGGGGATGGGTTAAGGTTTCCCAATAAAATTCTCACAGTCCTTGTTACCTTCCAAACCATGAGCATGTGCATTGTGATGGGAAAAAATTCCTCCGCACAACTTTCCTGGCCTTTTTCTTACCTACAGTTTTCTATGTTCTTAAAACTTCTTTATAATGAGCCCCATGATCTTCCTTTGTGCTTTGAGAAAATCTATCAAGATTATCCCTTGGAATACCCAAAAACAGTCACCATAGCCTTCTGAGCTGACCTCTCTACTTTTTATTTAATTGGCCCAGCAGATCCAGAAGCCACTGCTTTGATTAGAACCTTTTTTGGAGGCGCCTAATAAGACAAAGACAAGTGTATTAGTGAACTGGTCTGCGGCCATTCATTGATTGTAGACATGTTTAAACACGTTTTGTTTGGGACAAACCCACGCATGTATGAACTGACACCCCAGAAGCAACATTTTTTCACTTGCCCTTGAGGTAATCTACGAGTGTTATATGCTGGCTGCCTTTGCACATGCTGCTCTTCCTTCTGGGGAGAGCTTTCTCCTCCTCGCCCATCAGCCCTGTGCCCAGCCCAGCTCCAGCACTCTCTCCTGCAGGACCTGGCCCAGCCCCACCCTGAGCCATAGACCAGGGCTTTCTCTGTGCTGCATGCGCAAGATATCGCAATGTTTTATTGATGTGCTTGTCTCCTCTAAGATACAGTGAGTTCCTTGAGGGCAGATATGAGTCTTTTTCATCTCTGAATCCAAAGCACAGGATACATGCTCAGTAAACGTTCAGTGAATAAAAGAATGAAAAAGCAAGCATTCTCCTTGCAATTCTAGCTGGCCTCCAAATAACAGTCTGGTGCTGATGCAAGGAAGCTTGGGCTGGCGTTGGGAGCTTCTCACTAGTCAGAGGGACTTGAGCACTCAACACGCACCAGGTGGGGTGCTGCACAACAGCTGGAAAACAGCACCCTCCACCCTTCAGAGACCCTCGGGATGGCAGTGTTCCAAGCAGAGTACCAAACACCTCAAGGTCAGGAGACCCTCTCACCCAGGCATCCTAGTGGGGCATTTACAAAAATTTCAGTCCCATAGAACTAGTTCAGTGGACTAATGGACCACATGAATATCAATCTCTAGGCCTTGAGACCTAGATGGCATCTTTCTGCCACTACCAAGTGCTCAGAAAGAGACCATATTGGGAGGTCCAGAACAAAATTCAGACTCATAAAAAAGACGAGGTTTACTGATCAGAATAGACTGGGGGCACCCTCAAGGTAAGGGCCCTTTGACACCCTCCATGTCTGGAAATGAACTCATCCTCACGGCTCAATTTTCAGCCGAACAATAGACGGAGATTCTGAAGGGAACAATAACGTCAGAGGGGGAGGCACAGCCATTTGCAACCAGAAGGGCAACATCTACCCAAGGACACAGTTCAGAAGGTTAAGGAAGAAGGAGAGATGGAAACAGGAAACACAGGAGGAAGTGCAGTAAGTGACGTTACACTGTGACGACTGCAATCAATGAGATGGAACAAAATGTATGTGAGTTGTTGAATGGACAACTGATCTGCTTTGTAATCCTTCACCCAATTCACAACAAAAAGTTAGCTAACAGTCTGCCAGTAGTGGCTAAAATGAACCTGTTCTGCCTCCAGGCAGGTGGTATCTCAGCATCTGCAGATGGAGAAGGGGAGTGCCCAATGGTCAGCAGGAGGGCAGAGGATGGGCACTACGAGGCTCTGGGCCATGCAGTAACAAGGCCTGGAAAGGCCAGTGGAAGGGAAAGGGTAATTATGGCCTGGAGACAGATGAGCCCCAGCACCCCCCACGGGGACCAGCACATGGCCCAGAGCTGTCACAGCCGAGATTAGCATTCTCTAGAGGCTGCCATCTCTGTGGTACTTCTTGAGGGTCAAGTCCTTTCTCCACACTGGTTCCAAGTTCAATTAAGGCCACATAGCTGGCAAGTCACAGAGCTGGATTTGAACTTAGACCCTGAGTCCAGAGTCCAAGCTCTTCCCACTGTTCCATGCTGCCTTTAGTGCTGGGAGCACCCACGTACACATCTTCACTTGCCTGTCGAGATCCTCAAGGTAAAGGACTGGCCTGGCTCATCTCTGTCCCCCAGCATCAATAACATACAATAGAAATACAGCAACTGCTGGCTGAATGGATTATGCATTGGAAAATACTTCAGAAAGCTACTGGTTTTTAAAAGCTTGAGCCAAATCTAATCTAACAGCACATGAAAAACCACACAGGTCAATTTCCTCTTAATGAGCACAGTGTTAACAGAGCGCAGACAGTGATGGCTCAGTAGTACAATGGTCACCTTCCAGGCTAGAGATCCAGGTTCAATTCCTGGCCAATGTACCTCATGAGCACATACCATCTTTCCATTTATGAAAGGCTGTGTCACTACGATGCTGAGCAGTTGCCACCATCACACTAAGAGAGACAAGAAGGTAAGGTCTGGCAATCTACTTCCAAAAAAACCAGTCAGTGAAAACCCATGGAGCACACAGTTCTACTTGGACACCCCTGGGATCATCCATGTTGACTCAATGGCAACTGATTTAACTGGTGTCTTCTCCATGATCCCTTCCCTACTGACAGAGAGAAGCAAAGGTGCTAAGGCCTTCAGGGATAGCAGAGACAAGACAGGGGAGATGGGTGTCTGAATCATTGTGCGGATCCACCAGCCAACCCGGAACATTCCTACCGACTGTTGTGAGAGTGGATCAACCATGAACACCCCAATAACTGTTCTGAGAGTGAGAATCAACCAGGAACACCACGACCGACTGTTGTGAGCGTGAGGAGCAACTCTGCTTTGTTTGTTTTAGCCACAAAGCAATTTAAGGAGCAGGGAGTGTGTTATGGATTGAATTGCATTCCCTCCCCCAACAAAACATGAGAACCCTGCTTTCTTCCTTAATCTGCTCTTCTGTATCTCAAAGGAGATTACACAAGAAAGCAGAGAAAAGGGAAGACAGATACCATGCCACATGGACAATGCCAAGTGACCAAGGAACAGCTAAAAACAGACAAGGTAAGACAGAAAACGCCTTTCCCTGAATCCAGACTTCTAGCCTCCTGAACTGTGAGAACATAAATATCTGTTTGTTAAGGCACCCCCACTTTTGGTATCTGTACAGCAGCATTAGAGAACAAAGACATGCCCAGGATGAGGGACCACAGCTGCTACAGCAAAGACTTGCAGAGAAGGGAGGGGTCATACTGGGCCTCAGCAACCTCACTCTGGTGACCATGGGGAGGAGGATCACCCACAGGGATTGTTTCCAGGAGTCCTGGTGTTGCTGGCGCTGCTCTCAAAGGAGGAATGGAAGTTGTGAATGGTTTCCTGTAAAATTTGTCTCTCTCGTCCCTGTGGAAGAAATTGAAAACACAGAAAGTCCTGTTAAGTCTCCTAACCATTAATTCAATTGACACAGGGCTGTTAATGCCCAACTCATACTCGAAAAACCCATGGGTATCTTGGGGAAAATAAATCATTTAATTGAAGAGTACTGAGGTTAATAAAAAGAGTCAGAAACTCCCCCAGAACCCACAAGCACAGCATGTCAGTGCTGGAGAGGTCCAATTCCTGGAAGAGGCCAGTGAGCAGGACCAACCTGGCCCAGGACGCATGGTCTTTCCAGACCTCAGATTTGAGGGAGCTCAGGGGAGCTGAACTTTCTTTGCCTTTGTTTCCTCCTTTCCACAAGATGTCAGTCTCCTTTTCATATTGAGTCACTTCCTACCCCACTCCTGCAACACGTACCCCTACACACACATTTTGAGATGGGAAAGAGAAGGGATGTGGATAGTTACGCCTAGAGTTCATCTGAGTTGAATACCTGGCTGACAGCAGTATATACAAGTTAAAACCAGACTAGAATCAAACAGCCTGTGTTCAAATCCTGTCTCTCCTATGTAAGTGCTAGATGATCTTGAGCTAGCTAGATCTCTCTGGACCTCAGTTTACTAATCTGTAAAATGGGGGTAATAAAAGGGCCTCAAATGGTTGCAATTAAGCATTAAGTTGCAAATAAACACTGAGCTAAAATATTATTTATTTTATATGTTAATTGTATATGATATATATATATATGGAGTCCTGGTGTGGCACTGTAAGATAAGCACCAGACTGCTAACTGCGAGTTCGGTGGTTCAAACTCACCAGCTGCTCCTCAGATTCATAGTGGTTTCAATTAACAGCAACCCTGTACAGGGTTTCTGAGGAGTGGCTGGTGGATCTGGACTACCAACCTTCAGTTAGCAGTCTGGAGCCTTTGCTACAGCACCACAGGACTCTCTCATATTATAGATATACATATACACGTGCATATATGTATACATGTAAAAACACTATGGTGGTGGTGGTTATGTGCCATGGAGTCTGTTCTGACTCACAGTGAACCTGTACAGGGTTTCTGAGGCTGTAAATCTTTACAGGAGCAGAAAGCCTCTTATTCCCGCGGAACAGCTGGTAGTTTCGAACTACCTTTTGGTTCGCAGCCCTATTCGTAACCACTATGCTACCAGAGCTCCTTACATACATACAAATATATATACACATATGTACACAGATAGATAGATAGATAGGTAGGTAGATAGATAGATAGAAAGACAGATAGACACACAAATAGATAGATAGCCCTGGTGTGGTGCTGAGAGTTATTGCACTAGACTGCAAAGTTGGTTTGACCTGAAAGGCCAGGAGTCCAAGTTCACCAGCCACTCCTCAGAAACCCTATACAGAGTTGCTACGGGTCGGAACAGACTCAACAGCACTAACAACTACAACAAGAGCAAAAAAGAAGGGCTCTGCATGTGGTTAAAGCATTTGGCTATTAACAGGAAGGTTGGTGGTTTGAACCCACCTGCTGCTCTGTGAGAGAAAGCTGTGGCAGTCTGTTTCCATAAAGATTGGCAGCCGTGGAAACCGCATAGGGAAGTTGTGCTCTGTCCTACAGAGTCACTGTGACTTAGAATCATCAACTGGAAGGCAGTGGAGTTTGGGAATTAACAGTGAAAAATTTTTTTAAATCCTGAATGAGTCTGGACTTCAAACTTTCTTTTCTTTCATTTCACAAACGCCTTACGCCCCAGAGTGGTCCCTCTCCAGATCCCCAAGCAGGAACCCCTGTGCTAAGGAGGCTTTCTATGCACCTGAGATTCTTCCTTTATGACAAGCCGCTCAAGTAACTTAAAATAAGCTGGATCAAAGGGGAAAAACATAGAGCAAGATTTCAAATTCTCATGGAACCCAGACTTTCTGGAGTCATTGAGGCTGGATAAAGCCCTGAAACTAATGCCCTGAGATAGTCATTAAACTGTAGTTAGAAATAGTCCCTGAATTAACTGTGACAGTCACAACTGTAATTGTAGAAGAGTTGAAACTAAAAGGGGTGAGTAGTTAATCTTTCATTTCAGGAACAGAGGATCCCAGGTCCATCAAGAAGGAAGAGTATGAGTGGAGCGTGAGAGCCTACCTAGAAAAGCGGATACAGCAGAGGCAGAGGCATGGAGAGACAGGATCTAGGCCCATGGACTGAGTAAGGTTGTGTGCTGTGGGCAGAAGACTGGCTTACAGATGCCCTTTGGATATATATATATATATATAT